CCAGCTGTGCTCCGGCTGCCCGAGGGGCGTCCCCTTCTCTCTCACGGCCCCGACGCTCTGCCTGGGTCGGCCGCCTTCCGTGAGGCCGGGGGTGGGGTCCCTCCGCCCCAATGTTCGGTGGGGTCAGCGGGCCTCGGCCCGTAACGGTCAGCCCTCACGGCAAGGCTGACCGGCCGCCGGCTCTGGAGCCGGGCCTGAGGGCCTGCGGGCCAGGACGACGGTCTCAGCTGGGGGCCGGTCACTGCCGGCCCTCTTGGCCCTGCTCGGGGCCCTGGCAGGGACACAGCACCTGGCCCGGTTGCGGGGCTCACGTCAGGCGGGGGCGGGGCAGGGGCACCCTGCCCTGACCGTGCGCCACGGGAACGCCCTACCCAGTGCCTGGGATGTGGGCAGCGTCGCCTGCTTCAGACCCAAGTCAGGCGGGTGAAGCCGGGGTCCTGGGGCGCAGGGGCGGCTGGAGCCAGGCACAGCCCTGGGCCAGCCATCTTATTAACGGGGCGTCACGTCCCAGTGACCCCCCCCTCCTGTGCAATGGGGTCCCAGCCCCTGGCCACGAGCACCTTGATAGTTGTGCTGTGTGCCCAGCCCCGGGTCACCCTGTCATCCTGCGGGTCACCCCATCATCCTATAGATCACCCCATCATCCTGCGGGTCACCCCATCGTTCGAGGGTCACCCCGTCATCCTGAGGGTCACCCTGTCGTCCTGAGGTCACCCCCTCATCCTACAGGTCACCCTGTCGTCCCGCAGCTCTCACTTCTCCTTTCAACACCAGCTGCCCGCCCCCCACATTGCGTCTGGGGGAGCAGGGAACGGGCTGTCCTCAGAATGGCCCCCTGAAGTCCTGGAGGTCAACTCTCTCAGGGTCTGAGCCCCTAGGGCCATTGCCTCCGCCTGCTGCGAAGCCCCTCCGCCGCCTCCCAACGCACGCGCTGGATTCCAGGGGCGAACTCAGAGCCCGGAGCCGCGGAGCTGGGGCCCGGCACCTGCAGCCCGCCTCTGGCCAGGCAGTTCCCATACTGGGGGATCCCCATTTTCTTCGGGTATCCCCCCACAGCCCCGGGGAGGGAAGAGGACCTGATCCCCGCCGCCCGCCTGCATGGCACGCGGGCTGGCCCCGACTCAGCAGCTGAGACGAGCAGACACCCCCTGTACCCCCTGCAGAAACGAGGGTGCCTCCCAGATGCACCCCCTCCGCGGAACTCGGCCCTCTCGGCTTCCAGGCCGCTCTGCCTCCCAGAGTGGGGACGCGGGGACCCCGCGCCCCAGGCCTGCCCCTGCCTCCCACGCGTGGCCAGGGACCCCACTCACTCTCACACAGACGCCGCCGCAGCTGGCCCCGGATCCTGTCGATGGCGTCGAAGTCGGACACGTGGAAGACGTGGGCGGACGTGGGCTCCGAGGCCATCTCCTCCAGCTCCTCCCTCAGCGCCTCCCCGACGCCCACGGCGAAGATGCGGATGCCCGCCCGGCGGGCGGCGGCCGCGGCG